TCGCTCAAAGGACTGTGATTTCCAAATACACTTAAGCAAAATTATGACAAGAATTTTTGTTCGGCAAAATTCAGTGTTTAAAGAGCGATTAGGCGATAATGGGGCAGCTTTGAGCCGGCAGTGAATGCAGCCGTCTCCCTCTGAAAGGCACTCAATTATCTCTGATTGCTCCCGCTATAATGTATCAAATAGAGATACCTGCTATTGCCGTAATTTGTGTGAAAATTAACATGCTGCAATTTCCACTAGAGGGAAAAAGGGAGCTCTAATGGGCGCCTGAGCGTACATCAATAAAACGAGGGGAGAAAAAGAGGGAGGCAGGGAGGGAGGAGGAGAAAGAGAGAGAGAGAGAAAAAGAACGTGCCAAGAGAAGACAGAATGAGCGTAAGAGCTAAGGAGAAAGGGAAACAAATGAAAAGAAAGGAGCAAAGGAATAAAAGGGAGAAGAAAAGGAAAGCCAGGGGAGATATTTAAGACTGGATGACGGAAGAAAGGAATTAAGCAAAGGGGAGAGGTAGAGAGAGGCAGCAAGAGAGGAAGAGAAAGAAATTTAATTTACTGAAAATATTACAAATTGCACCTGTGCATAACTCCCCCAAATTACCAACCAATCAAGGCAGAGTGCCTATTACTCTCCCATTACATGGAGATCAGATCACGCTCTGAATCTGTGTCCAGAGAGAGGGAGGGAGGAGAGAAAGGATGAGGCAGAGAGAGATAGAGATGAAGAGACGGATGGAGGAAAGGGACGAGGCAGAACCTAAAGGGATGGATAACGTACCAAAGGAGTGACGGATGAAATGTTTCTGAACAGAAGCATATAGAGAAGATCCTCTATCGTCCTCCAAGATGCTAATATTTACTCATAGTCTATGAATACACTATTAGAAATCAATGAAGCCAGAGATCAGACAGCCTAACAATCAGATGGAGGATTCCAATAACCCAAACTTGGATTATAGAAATCAGATGCTTGATTGGAAAAATGGTAGCTTCTTCATGGTCTTCCCTTCTTTGAGCCGTCTGACTACCGCCAGCTCAAACAGCCGCTGAATGACCTCTTGAGTGCTTCGTATAATTAGCACCAATTAAATATGTATGCTGCTGGGCTATTACTCTCTGTGCACCAGCTCGATTCAGACAACCGTGTTACCATATACTGAGCAGCCAATATTAGCTGACGAAGAGCCATAATATAAATGTTTCCTGGAAAATATGAAACACAGAATGAGTTCAGTAATTAGGCTTTGAGCATTCGGTTTAAGGGTTCTTCAGCAGGACAGAAATCTGTTGGGTTGGGAGCTGGGTCTATTGTAATGATGACTTTCACCTTGATATTTTAGCACGGATATATATCTGGGGGTGAAAACGAATCAATATTCATCAACGTGACGTGCTGACATGGATGTAGCTATTAAGGTGGCAGGTTTGCTTTAGGGAAAATTAATTTTTTTCAAAAGATTCCCAATGGAGAACTTGACAAGACTAAAGCTGTTTTCACCTTTTGCAATGCAGAATAGGCTTACTACAGGAGCTCTTCCAGTCTCAAGTACCACCTAGAGGCAATTAGGCCATGTTATGTAATTTAAAATTTCATAATACCACAACACCATGAATGATTACCACAACGTTATCTTTGCTTCTTTATGGTTGTTTTGCTGTATGTGGGTAAAGCGGGAAGCTTTTTGAAAATGTAGCTTCTTTGGTATTTTTTGAGCCCGTTTCATTCCTAGAGCTAAAGTTTCACATGATACATTTTTAGAAAACCTTAGGATCTTGACATCACAAGAGACATTCTGACCACAGATTTTATTATTATCTTTAAATGTTGTTACCCCAAAGTTGGTCTGCCTGAGTGACTGGTGGAAAAATGGAGAAATAGAGCTCATCATGATCATTGTGATCTATTATGTAGGCCTACAGTTCAGAATTCATGTTTATCTGAACAAACACTTATTAAACATTTATTTTCATCACCAGCTATCATAGTAGAAAAGCTTTCTCAAGCAGTTTGTGATTAATTTTGGAAACAGGAGACGAGTCCCTGATCTAATGCAGCACCTGGCTTAAGAGACTTGTTTTACTTATTATTTCGGGTAGTACACACATATCATGAATGCTTTAGTAGAATTCAAATGAGCAATTTAAATCTAAATTAATCTTGATTAAGTCCAAGATTACAGTGAGATGAATCTAGGTTAAAAAAAATGTATCTATGCCCTCCGCTAAAAAAAAATATCTTCACAGCTAATCGACGGCTGCAATACAGACGACTAGTAAATGGAAAGAGTAACTGAAAAAATGAATATTTGAACTTACCCATGATAATGTATGGTGATTAAATAAAGAACAGGCTATTAAAGTGGTAAAATAATGACTTTTTCTAGTTTATTCTTTTATTTAAAGCCTACCAGTACTATACTACTACTGCTATAGAGCGTTGATGGAATCCTGAGGTGATCAGAGTTCAATCATGCAGTCTCTCCGCTTTAAAAACATGGAATATGGCGTCTGTAAAAAGCATATGAGCCACTTCCAAAACCAGTGAAACCGAGGGGTTATCCACTCAACTGCAGCCATCAACATGGGAGGGCCGGCCGTCTCACCACCTTCTTTCTGTTTAAGGTAAATAATTCTAGTGTTTAGAATTATGTTAGCATGATACCAAAATTGGGTGCTGTTAAGGTGTCAGACATCAGTTTAAATATGAATGGTACCCATCCCTCCTTTCATGACAGCCTTTTTAGTATAGACGCTGTTACATTTCTTAACGGTTTGGTTTCCTAAACCGTGAGCCGGGCTTTTTATCTACTCTTTTCTTAAAGGGGTCATGGAATGCAAAACTGAGGTTAAATTGTCATAGATGAATAACGATAGTTCAGTGGGTGAAATCAACGTACAGAGAAGTTCAAACCCCATCGACACCTCCTTTCTTTGAAAATCTTACAATTCTAAACTTCCACCATAAAAAGGCAAATCCAAACGAAACTCTGAGTTGACGTAAACTTGGAGATGGTGCCTTATTTGGTTCTAGCCTGTACTTTTGTCATGCACTGAAATTGATATACAGACTATTCAGAGACCTTAAGGACCAGCACCAAATACCATATATAATCATTCTATGACCCCTTTAAAGTAATCTGGTGTTTATTGTATGCTGGATAAAATTCTCAGAAGACTAAGACTTTGGTGTTATTGTATGTGGAAAGCAAAAGAGACTAAAAACTTGGATTTATAAGAAATCATAGCAACACACACAGCTAAAAAGACTACTTTCTACAGATAATTAATATAGGAGCTCCTGTATTTATTTTAACCAGTGCAAAACTTGTCTGTGTGTATTGCAGATACTGAGGTTTGTAAAGCGGTCTGGAAAATAAATTATATGGTCAATATCAATTTGATCCTAAGGGTATAATTAAAAAATTTAAATGAAATATCTCATGTCCACACAGTGTAGGTGAATCCTGGTTAAAAAAAAACAAAAAAAAAAACTGGAGCTTTAAACAGCTGAAGACGACAACAAGTCAAAGAGAATAAAATCAAAGGCAGAAAAAGGAAAATGATCAACTCTAAATGTTGATTTAAATGTCAAACTCAAAATTTATACTGATTACAGAAATATTTTAATAATAAACCAAATAATCTGTGTCTTAAAACTTTACTATGAGGCATTGTAGATGTTTATTTATTCTCTCATCTCATTGTCACAGCTGGAGGTACATGGAAGCATATAGCAGATATGGAAACCTCCAAAACCCATTATCTTAGTCATTTAATACAACGATGAATGAGCTAAAATATTGTTTTGATAAATTGTGTTAAAAAGTTCAGTAGTAAGCAATGATATTGGGAACTCTCCTAAACTAAAAATAAATTACTCTCCCACAGCATGACACTGCCACTACTTTGTACCAAAGTGGAGTGTTGGTTTATCACATCAAATCAAATCTTTTCTTTAAAACTAATTCTAGAACAGAAACAACAACAAAAAAATTAAAACATTAAAAAACTTGAGATAAACAAGCCTTAATTTGCTGGTCCTATACTGTGTGTTAGGTAAACAGCCGATAGATTTTATTGTTCATTTTATATTTATCAAAATAATAATAATAAAAAACATCTTCCATCTTGACAAGAGCAAACCTAAATATACACACATTTTCTGTCAAATATGTACATAAAGATCAGTCCAAAGGCTGACGAGTTAAAAGTGAAGCAAAATCAAGGCAGGCGGCAAATTTTGGAAAGAAAAAGGTTGCATGAGCAAGCAGAGAAAAGTTAAATGTTGTATTCAGCCTGCAGTTTAAAGTGCCAGGGCCCTCAGGCACAGCAATGGCTGCCTAAGTGGCTACACTGACAGCAGAAATTGGCCTTCTGGTTTACAACCTGTCGCCACATCGCCAGACAGAGCAAAGCAGCCAGAATGGGGGGAGACACACAGGAGCAGAGCAGAAAAAAATATATATTATAAAAAAGACCCTAAAGGGAGAGAGTTAAGAGAGGCGATGGTGGAAACAAGGAGAGTGAGAGTGGGACAGAGAAATGTCATGCTCAAATTGAAAGGAAGAGTGTTTTTCTCAAATCCAGTGGTCAAACTAACAAAGTGTTCATAAGAGCAGAGCTACACAGACAGGTGGTTTTAATGTCTGAACTAGCAGCAAGCTCTTCGGCAGAAGTATGGAGGCACACAAACACAGACACACACCCGCTGCAAGACAAAGAGGATATTATGTCATGCATATGATGAAAGGTGACACTAATAAGCTGAGGTATACATGAGGTGGTTTCAGAGCGCAGCTCCATAGCACCATCCTCTGGAAAAGATCTACAGAACACAAAGCGCCCAAGAGAGTGGATTTCACTCAACCTCAGCTCCCGGCTTCTGAGCAAAGAGGCCGTTTGTTTTGGTTTACTGCTTGCTACCTTCATACTAATGTGAATTTATTCAACCCAGCAGGGGAGTGCAGAGCTGAGAGAGTGTAAGCTAGTGGATTTACCTCAGGTCTGAGCGTAGCCCGGGTGCAGGCAGGGCAGATGGGTCCGTGTCGGGAGAAGGCAATCGGCAGGCGCCTGGTCCGGTTCTGACAGGCCTGGTCCTCGCACACCAACCATCCCTGTACGGTAAAAAAATCTGTTTGATTTCCATCCAGTAGGGGAAATACCTCAGCAGTTACATGTATTCAGAGTTTCTACAAACTTTCAGGGGGTTTCGTGAAATTCTGGAGAAGAGAGTCTAATATATCCAATTTTAACTGCGTTAGCAATAATCTGCTAGGGAGCTGAAAAACTTTGCTACGTGGACCTAAATAAAAAAAATTTCCCACCTGAACGTCCGCAATTTGTGGAGCTGTAGGCACTTTATAAATAAAGAACATATATCTGACACTAAATACTGATTTCAAAAGAAAGAAAAAGAACAGTTTTAATGTTGTTTACGGTTTCAACGTGACTCAGTTTAACAAAAAGAGTTCTGTTTCAACGTGGTCAACCTTCTCTAGATCCCCCAAGAAGAAGTTAAGAAAAGTCATTTTTATTTTATTTAAAGTATTTGCGTTCAGACTTTACACTAGTGGTTAAAATTAAGTTAAACCTTGATGTAAAAACCAAAGAAAACATGTCATTTAAATATTAATCAATTTATGCATGTTTTACCTTCAAAAAACAGAAGGAAAATAACTTGTCCATCATTTCATAAGAATAAGAGCAAACTAAAAATACTTCTAGCCTTTAAGACTGCTAAGGAAACTTGTGCATAGCTGCAAAAGTGACAAATATCTATTCTGTCATTCTTTATTTGCAACTTGTTCCATGTTAAAAAGCACACTGGGTGTAAATGTTGAACAAAACACTGTTTCTGAATCAAAAAGACAAAAAACAAAATAAAATAGATGTTTACGCGGCAGCCAACTACTACTACTCATTTATAAAATGTGTTTATGTAGCAATTTGTTTAGTCAATAAATATGTTCAACAAAAATTGATAAAAACTTCTGTTGGCTGGAGAAAAAAAAAAGCAGTTTGCCATAATGAGGAAATTTTGCTGAGAATTGTTGCTTCCATTTAGCTGTTCTAATCAGCCCAACAATCTGACAACAAAAGTACTCTGAAGAAGAGAAAAGGAGGTTTGTAAATAAATAAATAAAAAAAAGTGCCCAAGACAAGCAAAGAAAACAGAGGTGCACGTCTGGCTTGACGTCCCGCCTTGCTGTCTCGCTTTACGTTTCAGATTATTCAGTGTGTACGTGTGTCAACGTGCTGCTCAGCCACAGGCAGAGCAGTGGACAGCCAAAACGGCAGTAGTTAGGACCTCCTGGAGTGAGGCAGCGACCCTGGGCAGGTGCTGTGTTCTAACCCTCTCAATCACCCCATATTCTTCCCAACTCCCCCTGCTTCTTATGCTCTGTCATTACCAAGGGTTTAAAAGAGGAGGAGGAGGGGGGGGATTAATGCCCAACTAATGACAGACCATAAGACCCATCGTCATCAACGCCTTTGCTCCGCTGCTGCCTCCATCCCTCCTTCCTTCCTTCCCTCCTTCCATTCACTCAAAATAAACCGGTGCACCTGTCTCCCTGTCCACACCCCCTCACTCATAAGAGCTCGCAGTGGTTGTCTGATTGATTTTTAAGTCCGTCTTTGTCTGGTGTCTTGATCAGCTCTGAACAGAAGGAGTTTGAAAACGGTGAGGAATGTATTTGTATCCTCAAAGTGGAATCAACCATAAAAACTTCTTTACTTTATCAAAAAAAAAAAAAAAGGCTACATCAATAATGCAATGCAGATAGAAACAATTAATTTATTTCAAACTGCACATCATCTAATTCAATTTCAATTCAGTTTATTTATATAGCGCCAATTCACAACACGTCATCTCAAGACACTTTACAGTTCACCAGATCAGTCAAAGTTATTCAAAGTTTGCTAAGGAAAACCAGTTGATTGCATCGACTCATTAACTCGAAGGCAGTCCTTCACACTAAACATGCTTGTAGCGACAGTAGAGAGGAAAAACTCCCTTTTAACAGGAAGAAACCTCCAGCAGAACCAGGCTCAGTGTGAGCAGCCATCTGAACAGTTTACATTTTTACTTTAAATAACGGTGTAAACTATAAGTTAAGACCCCTTAACACTTTTGTCAAAGTTCTCTGACTGTTCTCAGCATGTTTTAGTCGTAAAATACATTTATTCTAATATCATAAAACTGATATGATGCTGGGCAATGAGTGTTATTAGTTTTTCAGTCAGTCTATCTAATTTAAAGTCTTATTGAAAAGGAAGAAAGGAAGTAGTACTCCAACTGTTCTGTTGACAAAACTGACAAAGGTCTTGCCAACAATACTCTCACAATTTAGCCGGCCAACCCTGACATGCTAACCATTAGCCTCAAATTATGTTAAAGTTGGAGCCTGTTTGACAGAAGATCGTTGATGCTAAAATAAGAGGCTATTTCAGTGTTTTATTTTTTATTTTTTTATTGGTCTGTTTCACATTTGATCATCTCTTGTTCCTAGTCAAAAATATTAGCGAGTGGTCCAACCTGTAATGAATAAATTAAAACATACACAAAACTTTTTTCATCTGTCAAAACACACATGAAAGTGAAACTGATGAGAGTCCTTAGGATAAAGATTTTGAAATTTTGACAATTTGTGAAAACATAAAAAAAGTTTTAGAAAACAAAATCTCATTCTCGTGAATGATAAGTATTACCCAGCAACATCCAACTCATTGCATAAAAAAGATGCATGTATGAACACAAGTTTCTATGATTTTATAGAAGGATTAGGATGATTTTCATGTATTTGCTATTATGATTTATCTGATAAATCATCACCAAAGTTTGAATTGGGATTTTTAAAGTTAAACCATGATCAAAGCCTGAGTTTAAGTTCAATATGCTAAGTAGAAAAAATGTGTGAAGGTTTCAAGAATTAACAAAGTTAGCTGCACTTCTGATTATGAAAATATTTCTCTTCAATCTCAGAATGTGTATCATGGTGATAAAAAGAATGTTAGCGGTTTGTAATGCTACAGCTATAAGAATGCATCTAGGTGGCCCTGAGCTGGGTGTGATTACATTTCCAGATCCAAGTTCTAACTGTAGGCAGAAACATTTTGAAGAAGTATTTTTTTAGCTGTATATGCGATCGTTTATCAGTAGATTGTGGGAGAATACCATAAAACACCAGTTTCAATTTCACTCCCTGGACAAAATTCTCAACCCCAGCTGGGATAAGCGTGTCAGAAAATGGATGGATGGAGTTATATTGCTATTAAGGTTTTAGAGATCTCTCAAATGACTATTTCAGAGCTGTATTCCAATATTGCTCAAATAAATATTAATAAATTATTTTTAGTTATAAAGGAAAGATTTAAAACCATCGGAATCTTAACACAATGGGAATAGTTGAAAATAAAATTCTCATTTACCATAAACACCTGCCCAGAAGCATAACAGACAATAAATACATATAATATATCTGTATGGTGAGATATATCAAAGTGGCAAATGGTTTAAACCAAGTGAATTGGTGTTCTACTATTGACTGTAAGAAGTCTTTAAAGGAGAGTAGAATAAATGTAGTGAGTTTTAGGGTCTGTTGGAAGTGATTCCAGTTAACTTTAGGTAGAAAACTGGAAAGAAGTCTGACCAAATGAGCTACAGATACACTGAGTCTAAAGCTGGGAGGGTTAAGTGATGACTGCAGATACAACCGGTTCATCGACAAGGGTTTTATAGGATGGAGAGGAGGACAGTTCAACAAGGAGTAGAGTTGGCAGTGGTGAGCCTCAAATTAAGCTCCAGTAACAAAGAGGATAAAAGAAAATCCAGTTTGTAGAGGAGGATTGTGGGGTTGACCTGTGGATCCAGGATGGGGAGCAAACTCAATCTGAACTAAGACAACTTTATTGTCATCTTGTATACCCAGAATGTATACAAAACGAAATTTCGATGCATACAGCTTTTTAACAGTTAATGAAGAGCTTACAGCAGTGAAATGAATATCATCATCATTTATCATTTATAAAGTGCAACAGTGATCAAAATGTAAACAGTGATGGAGAAAAGAAAAACCAGTTTAAAGTCATGGTGCAAAAGGCATTGATATGGAAATGTTGAGTGCAGTGCAAATAAATAAATGTGGTGTAAAATGCAGTAAAATGCAGTAGAACATTGACTTGTGTTCTATTTAAATTAATTATGATACAAACATCCATGTAGTGCAAATATATTGACAAGTGTGATGCAGAGTCTGGATTAGAGTTTCAACAGTTCAACAGTCTAATGGAAGCAAGAAAAAAGCTGTTGCTGAACCTGGAACAAACTTTATTAGACAAACTTTTTTCAACAATAGATGTTTAGCAGAACTTAAAGGCGACTTTCTCAAGATAAAGAAAAGCAATTTTGGATTTGATCTTTGGGAGTTTGTTAGTTTTAACCCTGTAATGCCAAATTTATCATATTTGATACATATGGTTTCTGAAATGTTTTGCGTCTGACACCGTTTGCATACTTTAATGGTAAAAACTTTGCTCAAAATCCTATTGTACACAATCAGATATACCTGATAACAGAGGGCAGAAGACTACACAAAAAAAAATCTTGACTTATCGCATAGTAATAAATTATTAATATCAAAAATGTATTTGTTTTTTCGTTTTACATATTTTGTTAAAAGGCCAAATAAGGAGTTCAAACCAAAAAAAAAGTAATTTTCTGTTTTGTTTTATTCTCGGATCGGGCTTTAAAGGGTTAAACAACCGTTTCTGTTGAGCCAGATATGCAGACCAGTCTAGACTTCTTAAACAGAGTCGTTTAAATAGGGAATTTCAAGAGAATATACCTTTAAAAAAAAAAAAAAAAATTTTTTTGTGTGTTTAAAAATAAAATGGAGGTTGATGAGGCATAATGAAGGCTGCTTAGGCAACTACATATACCCAGCTAAGGCAAGGTTGGGGTGATTAGTGTGGGAATTAAACAGTGTAGGCCAAAGAAGGGATCAGTTGGGGATGCCTTTCAATCAAAGTAGGGGATCAGAGAGAAGACCCTCTATCCTCATACATGGTGGTGGATCAGTGCAGACATTTTTGATCTAGTTTTCGATAAGGCTAA